CTCTCTTTCTCTCTCTCTCTCTCTCTCTCGCCTAGAATCGTAGTCATAATGTAATCAAACCCTCTCTGCCAGCCATCTGTATAGCCTATAAATCGTCGGCCTAGAGTACAACTATCGTATGTCCACTTGTTCATGAAATCTGAGATTTTAAAAAAAACCCAAGCACATAACCTGAACCCAGTTGTCATATTATGTCCCAAGCGGATTTAAAAAGAACTGTGGAAACTCCAAAAGCATTATTTTTTATACACTTTGTTTTGTCGTATCTCCATTTGAGCTAATGGGGTGAGAGAGTGCCATCACGTGATTTTGAGGTCAAAGCAAGCAAAATAGCATCGTCTGGAAGAGGACTGTTCAACGATTAAGAGACCCTTAAACTTAAAGTGCATGTTCATTGAATTTGAAGGATTAATTTGGTGAGTGTGTCTGTATATTCCAAATTCTTTAAATTCTATGTATGCCCTTGTTTAGCAATCATCTGGTATAGCACTCTTAATTGTTTTGTTTTTGTAGTGCCTGCATAGACATTGTTTGTGCCTCATCTTCTAACATAAGTTGTGGTTCTGTGCCTGGGATTGGGGGGGGGGGGTCCCAACGCTTGGTTCTTTCTATTTATTTTTTTTCTGCTATAGATTGCTTTTATTTTTACCCTCTCTGTGAGTTGAGTAAGATAAAATCTCCCCTGGTCCAGGAGACCCAGCACTACCGGTTGTGCATGTAAAATCAAAACATAGCTGGTGTTATGCTTTTTATTGTTTCTCTACACCAAAAATTATTGTTGCCTTAAGTCTTATGAACATGGGTGTTTCACTGCCACAATTTGCATAGTCGTGTATCTGAGTTTTTACTTTAAATTGTAACACCTTCGTCTCATTTTAACAAAAGGCACATTGCTTGATAATATTAGTAATGTGTGTGTGTTTGTGTGTGTGTGTGTGTGTGTGTGTGTGTGTGTGTGTGTGTGTGTGTGTGTGTGTGTGTGTGTGTGTGTGTGTGTCTGTGTATATGTGTGTATTTTATACAGGCTGGTGGGGCACCTGAGGTCTATTTTGGCTATTACAAGGCCTAGAGTGCCCATATTCGCAGTGGGACATCCTGAGCTATTGGGGATTTTAAATCAATAGTTCAAAAAGTCTATTGTGAATCGGTTGCTATGGAAATGGCGGCCATATTGGATGTGTATACCTTTTTCAATTCCATTTTATTCCCTTATTTATCAACCGATTCACTTCTAATTTGGCCTGCCAACAGTAAATATGTAGCTCTTAAATTTGGCTTGTTGAATTTTTCATATATGCTTTTTATATGACACTTACAATTGGGATGTTGCCCAAAAAAAAGTGAAAAAAATTGAAAATTCATGCTTTCTTAGCCCATAAATCAAAAACTACTCCTTTAATCAAAATTCAACGTGCCAAAATTTAGAAATAGGTGTTGTTGGTATCCTGTGAAAGTTACATTGAAATTGGACTAGAAACAGAGCAGAAAAATGGGATAATGTGTGAACAAATAGAATTGTGAGAAAACAGCCGATAAAGGTAAGAAAAGGCTAGAAAACATGATGTGTGCTTTCGCAGAAAAAACTGACCAAAAAACCCACAGCTTTAGGGTGTAGCAAGGCTCACATACGTTTCTGGGTATTGTTCAGGAAATGTCCAGGTACTATAATATGTAATAAACCCAATTTGAAAAATTTGACCCCAAAACACGATTTCTAGTTGCCCCAACAGCCCTTAATACATGTAGGTTTGGAACGTTTTTCTTCTTTCACTTTGACCTGCTGTTTCTATTTCCATCTATCAAATATTTTAAATGTTTTGACTTGATACAGCATTGCGCCCATTTTGTCAAGAGGCAGTTTTCCTTAGTAAAAACCAGAGCACTCTAAGAGAGAAAGAGGTGGAGGTGGTGAGGAAAAGACGAGCAGCCAATAGCGACCTATTCTTGTTTTAATCTTTGTTCATGAGGAACGCGATATCAAAACATATTTGCTATTGAGAATGTAATGAATGGCTGGAGTCATTTTTTTTGTTGTTGTCTACACGCTACCAGTTTTACTATTGCACAATGTCCGTGTGGAATAACAAGGAAACTGGGCGCTTTTTCGGTACTTCCCACCCCGCTTATTTGGACCTAGATCTAGATATATCTAGATCCAGATCTAGATTTAGATCAGAAGGCTATGTTTGATGCGCAGCGAGCGAGAGATATCAAACCTAACGGCAAAACATCAAATTATGGTAAAGTGCCCCCCCCCCCTTTCCCCTTTGAAAACCCCTCCACATTCTTTTTAGATTTCTAGCTGTCCCCCTGAAACCCCCCAACATCTACTCTTGGGACCAAAACCGGCGAATAGTAATTGGGGGGTGGGGGGGGGCTACTGAAAAAGTAAACTGTTCTACAGTTCATCGAACATTATCGAACGTTGCCAGTTTTGTGGAAGTAGAATATTTGTGTGTGTGTAGGTACTTCTTTTTAATAGCCATTCTTTAGCCCAGATGGTCCTGTTTCTAGATTTCTTTTTGGATTTGAGAACAAAAAATGCTGCCAAATCATCCAGGTAGCTTGCTTCAGCTATTGTTGACGTTTTTTACCTAGATATAGCTACAACAGTCCAAGGACGGATAAAAAAAAACTGTACGTCTAAACGGAACTTCTCTTTCTCTCGTCGACAAACTGCCATTTTACCGATGACTCAGATCGAGCGTCCGTCGGTTAAACTGTCAGTTTGTCGATCAGCGAACTGTACGTCTAAATACGGCTAAGAGCTCATGCGGCCATGAGACACGCTTGTTGAAAAGACGTAAATAATCAAAAGTAATATAGAATTGTATGTATGTATGTATGCAGTGGCGGTTCGTGGTTTATAGAACTGACCGGCCATCATTCACATAGACGCTTTCTTCCTCCCCCTCCCCCCACCCCCTTCCTTCTCAACACACACACACACACACACACACACACACACACACACACACACACACACACACATACACATTCTCTCTCTCTCTCTCTCTCTCTCTCTCTCTCTCTCTCTCTCTCTCTCTCTCTCTCTCTCTCTCTCTCTCACTCTCTCCTCATTTTATACCCCTACTTTCGCCATCCCCACCCCTTCCCCCACTCACACACACACACAGCACTGTAAACATGTAAATATAATGTGAAGGAGCTGAAATATGGTAGTGTCAAGAAACAATATTATGATTAAAGTGTGATGGAAGTTACTGAGTCAATAGATACTGACTTGAACGGCATAGGAAAAGAAACACGACTAGAGTCTATGCTAGAAAACATACTGAAAGTGAGAAGCACAATAAACTGCTGGTCATGGCCTCCGGTACTTTTACTTTCTACACACCCATACACAATATCGACGTGCACTTGACCTGTAAATATGTAATAAGAACAGTACTGTATGATGGCAAAAAGTCAATTGATACTGTACCAATGACGCTGTCCCATGCAGATTAAGTCTACGATAAGATACTATAAAAAGCTGGACAAAGTTAGCACACAACAGTTTTCCATCATTATGTAATCAAACGTTCTTCATCACACTTCTCAGTTCTAAGACCCCTGTTGTAACCTTGGAGTAACTATGTAGGGAGAGGCCCTAACGTTGCGTCGCCCGCTCAACAGTTCCAACCAAGTTGA